TTAAACATCCTTTATTTCAAGTTTTTAATTATGCTCAACAGGTAATACTAATGTAAGTAAAATGTGTAAAAAGTTCACACTTTGAAAATGTATAACTTCCAGAAAAAGAAGCCAATTAGACTGCTTTTCCAACTCAGGCTGCATTTTAGTCCTGTATTTCTATTTTGAAAGTTTGGCAATCATAAATAACATGGTTTTCCCATAATGGTCATCATGGCAGCAGCACCCAAAATTGTGTTTTCTTCTTTTTTAATGCAATATTACATAATGCTTAACATCTGTGTCTGTACATAATATTTAAATCAATCGTGCTGGAAAGGTTGCCAAAATGTCATCAGGTGTCTCTTGCAAAACGATAGAGAAAATCAAGATTCTGTTGTTCAATGTCCATGTCATCTGCATCACTGTCAGTGTAATATCTATCATAAAAGTCATTAACTTTGTCTGCCACATTTTCCACGTCACTTTCACTTCCAGAGTTAAGGTCTTCCATTGATTCTGCAATTTCTGCTCCCTCCAACTCAGCATTGTCACTCTTGCTACGACAGTATTTTATCTTCCTTCCTGAAGACTGAAAAGTAAAAAGGGAAAACTTCAAATGGGAGCACATATTCATAAAACTAAAAAGTTATGGTTAATATTATCACTTTACACATATAATTGTCACCTTTAATCAATTATTAACAGGTCCAAAAATTACATACTAGCCAGCTCTCCAATACTGGTGTTGGGTTAAATGCATCTACAGGTGATGATTCCAGTTTCACCATCATTAAACTGTCCATTGTGGATGACTTCAATCTACACCTTCTGTTGGTCTTTATTAATTTCATCTGAGAAAAAGTGGTTTCGCATCTCACTGAAGTAGGAGGCAGAGATTGCAAAAGCTCTATCAACAGGAGGCAGGAAAAGTCTTCTCCATATTCACACATAATTTGTGGCCAAGATGTACCAGAATGCAAACTGTCACCATACCTGTGAAACAAGAAAAAAACATACACATTATTCCCCTAACACTTCATTATGAAATATCTCTGATCACTATAAAAAATTAATAAATTAAAATAATCTTTAAGTTAACACTATAAACAGAAACCAAATTACCAATGAAATGCACATGGCTTGTCTTTTATCTATAGTAATAAGAATGTATTGCCAATATGTGGTAAAACATTTTTGATAGCAACTACATTATGGAATCTTAATTTTAAATATTCCTTGAAACAAACCATTAAGATTGCTTTGTGTCATGATAGCACAGCCAAAACAAACAAATAAAAAAAAAAAACGTAGAGCAATATACCTTTTGTACAGTACCCGCTTCAGAACCTGCCACTCCTGCAAGACTACTTTCTCATCCACATCCATACCAGCTCCTACAAGGGCATTGGGGAAATGTCTGAGCACAGTTTGGACTTCTTCAGTGCCAAATTCTGAAAACAGCAAAATAATAATAATAAATAAATATAAATAAAATGATGCTCTCCGAAAAACTGCAGGATTACTACAGTCAGAATTGGAAAACAAAAAATGTTTCACTCAGCTAAATTATTTGTTTATATATTCTTACTATCTTAAATAACTTAAGACAAAACCTAGTGATTGAAAAGGATTTAATAATTTGCCAAACGTGGACCTGTGCATATCTGTACAAATTAAATCTTGTTCTACAAATGTTGTAAATAAAATGCAAGCTTCAAATCTTGTACATAAAATTTAAGTGAAGTAATATAACCGGCACAAGAACATACCTTCAATCTCTTTGATGTTTCCATTTGGAGGCCATCTTCTGAGGTTACATATAGCAGTTGCTTTAACAACATTCATTTCAGAATCATTAAAGCCAAACCGGGTTTCAATGCTCTCAATCAGCCCATCAATAAGAGATTCCTTATAGCGTAGTTGTGGTTCTCTGCCCTTCAAGGTAACCCCTTTGAATTTACCATCAGTCAACAATTCACAATAATCCCTAAAAGTAAAAAAGTAAATAAAATGGGATTAAATTAATCATATCCAACTGTTTTTTTTTTATGTTCTGATGTACAAAAATAAATAACATTACTTTTTCATCAAAAATATAAATGCATATTAGAACTTGGAGAAATGTATAATTTGCAATTTCCAAATAAAACAATAAATATGTGAACAAAAGATAAAACACAGTTAAATTGATATTCAAGAAAATCAAAATAAGGTGATACCTGGACTTGAACTTAAGAAGGTTTTCAACTGTGACCTCATACCATACCATGGCATCGGCCAATGTGACCTCATCGCTTTGTAATTTCAGTGAAAGCCTCATCAATGGATCTAATAAATCCTGGAAAAATTATATAATTTGACTTGACTAAAAAAAATCTTAACATACTGCAGAGTATTAAATTTTGTAAAGGTCAATGTTTTGGGTTAAGTTACTTTCACCATATTGTGTTATGAGCCATAAGTGTTTACTTTTAAAATATATCACTATGAAAGCTGCCAGTGACATACCTGTAACACCAACATAAATAAGACAATCTCTTTCTGCAGCAATATCTTGACAAGTCCTTCAGCCTTTGCATTCTCATGGCTGGCATTGCTCAGGTGAAGTTCATAAGCTGGAAAGTTGTGCAGAATATTATCCACCCCCCTGCTAACATGACAGATCCACCTCGTCCCTGTTACTTTGGGAGGCAGTGTGCCCTGGAATGGTAACTTCCCTTGAGTAAATATGCAAAATTAAATAAAAATAAAAATAAATTAAAAAAAAAAACTGCTGACCAATTAAAAATAATCCAGAAAAATTGAGAGAAGAAAATTATTATTACAAGTGTAGAAATTTCTGGAAATGATGAAAAGGTACATGCAATAGTGTAAAATATCCACAAATACCTGGATCTTCAAAGTATCCCATGCTCTCTGCAGGCCCTTCTTGTTCTTGTGGGATTTCTTGTAGAAGTAATGAAGTCCTATCATCACTGTCATCACTCTATCGTAGAGCTTTTTACAATGAACTTTTGTCACATCCTTCATGGCCAACTCCAACCTGTGGCACAGGCAGTGCACTGTCACAAGCTCTGGGTTATCACTCTGAAGACGAGATGCCAAACCAGACTTACTGCCTAACATGTTACTGGCCCCGTCACATCCCATTCCTACCATTTTACCTAGATAATGATTAATAACAGAAAATTAATATCATCCAAGAATCTGTACACTGCAGAATCTTGAGCGTATACATGTATGTGACACCTAGACAAAAAAATAATACCGCAGCACCTGGATATTAAAAATTATTTACAAATGTTGAAAACATGAATTCGAACTAGGTATTCATTTCACTCAGAGTATTTTTGTTCACTTTATTTGGATTCTCAGCGTTACTATCATATACATATTAAATTAATTTTAATATTTACCTTTGAATATTTCACTGTCAATCTGACTATTTATGAAAACATGATTTACATGGTCATACAGATCTGCAGCGCATGTGCTCTTTGGTGAATCTATGGACAGAAACTTCATACTGGGAACTCCATTTTTGGTAAACCTTATATATATTGTCTCTTGTTCATCTCCTGAATGAAAAATTAAAACTCCAGTTACATTTGAGTGAACTTATAAAGACGAAGTTTATAATATATACTATTTCACAGAAATAAAAAATTCATGCAAAACATCTAATGATAAGGTATCCAGGATATTCAGACATGGATTTACCTGTCAAATCACTACTGCCATCCATAATGAAACTGAAAAAAGGAGCCTCTTTCACACTCTGGACAATTCTGCTTTTCTCCTGAGCAGCAATGGCCTCGATGAACCCGAGAGCGGCCCTGTTGTTCTTGTATGTGTTTGCAGTGTCCAGGCCTTTGGCTCTATCCAAGACGACAAGTGAAGTAAAATCCGTCAGCGGACGATTCATTTTAGCAATATAATGGGCGTTCCGGACCTTGAAGCAGTAAATAAGGAAAAAAATGAAAAAATAAAAAAGTGAAACGTCAAGTTTAAATGTAAAGTTCTATGAAATAAATTGAGAACTTTCA